CAACATCCTCAACACCCCCCGTTGATAATTCTCGATCGTTGGCACGCTGATAATTTTTTTTTTTTTAAATGGCACTTCATATCAAAAAGGTTGCCGACCCCTGATCTAAACCCTCAGAGTCCTTTACCTCGCTGAGCCTCTCAGTCTGACAGGACAGAACTCTCCCTCCACATTATTGTAGAAACAACTTCTTATATCCGTTAGTGCAGCAGAAGCTAACAACAATCCCGGTACCGGTGCACCCCCTCTCTCTATCTATCCAGCGCCATATAGATATTCTATTATACGGCTCTGTATCTATCTATCTATCTCTCTCTCTCTCACCCTCACTTTGGCTGTGAGCTGCGGGCGCCTGATAAGCCAACATCCCCCACTTTCATCACTTACAGCGCCCATCGTACAGGGCAAATGGAAAATGTAACTGGGGTGAAAAGGGTGTTATCTTTACTTAATTATGAATGTTGTTACATCAATTCAAGGCTGAAAATTCGTTTTTTTGTATTATATTTGTATTTAATCTTGTGAAAGTGCAGATCCCCTGTCCTCCACCAGGGGGTGCTGCAGCACCCCTACTTCCCACGGCCCTGGGTGCAGCTAATGTTTGCATACCTTCGGTTGACTTGTAGATGGCTGATCCGGGGTCTCTGGGCAATAACTTCGACTCACATTTATACATAAGTCGCCAGAAGGAAGGGAGATACTATGAAACTTCCTCTGCAACACCCTTTCCTGGTCTGTAGAAACACAAATACCAAGGTCTCAACAACTTCCTACATTTAAACTACAACTACAAAGTATGTACGACACATTACTAGTTGAACTAAATAGGATTACTCACCTTCTATTTCCTTGAAACAGATTGTATACGTGTTTCCTCCAGCCTTTTCGATCATCCCACAATCACCTCCACCAGAATCCCGTCTTTTCTGAAAGTGCCTCCTGACTTTGTCCTTCTCTTTGTCTGTCAAATCTTTCGCTTCAAAGAACAGTGGATGTTTGAATTCTTCCATTTTACCTGCAATTCTGAACTTCAAAAGTTGTAAAAAGCTTGGTGCTTCTTGGAAGGTGTCCGACTCTAGAGCAAACAGTCTGAAGCTCTTCAGTTTATTTAGTTTCACTTTCCCTTACCTATTATTTCCTGTTCACTTCCTTATGTAAATAGACGTCACACATCTAATGACGGATTGAATGCTGGTAATGCAGTCATGATGATATTATTTATGAGGATGTTTTATATGATGTTGATAAGGTGTTTTATAGAGCTTGTTTGAAGAAAAGGGTTACCTGCTGATGATGACTATTTAGTTTGTGAGATCATAAAGACTGAAGTTAAAAAGTAATTGAGCCGTTAAAACATTGAACTGAAAGGGCTTAATGATCTTGTAATTAAAAAAGCAGAGTTAAAACAGCCCTACTTTCTAGATAGATAACCCTTCAGAGGACCAAGTTTTAATTTTGAATGAAATTACTGTAACTATTCCAGCTATAAAAAGATAATTTATTATAAATGAACCATGCTCATGTTGTAATAGTGGTGATAAAGTTGATGACAAGAAATAGTTTTTTTTAAAGCATGTTATGTCTTAGCAGATAATTAAAATGATAGAAAGTTAGAGCAGAGAGAGGTGGGAGTGTAATCTCCAGAAATCAATGATTTATGTTGGGATCTGTTGGGTTCCACACTGTAGAAAAATAAATCAAACCGACCAAAGACTAGAACAAGTTCTGGTGTTAAACTGTTACCATGAAGCATTACCACCGCAAACCCACTAGATGTCCTACTTAGACTAAAGATTCTGAGAACAAGCTCCCAGTCTGCAAATGCAATAGAGTGGTGCAGGGAGGACGTATACCCGGAAAAAAGCAATGGGATTTCTCCATAGGATTTTGGAAAATAGCTTGAAATAAGATCTGTGGAAAACTAACCTGTTTGATAAATGCACGTTAATCTCCACATATCTACCCTACTTTTATAAATTTCGAATCACAAATCTAATCGCCAGAAGCAAAATGCTAACGCTATGCTATAAACGAACTACAGCCGAGTACAGCAGGGTCGCTGCTTCAACGTCACGCCCACTTAAGATCCATATTCAAAAATACAGATTCAAAATTGTACAAGTTGAAGCGTTTGTTTTAAGAGTTTGCAGGAGGCAGGTACTTGCTTTCAAGCAGAACAGGGGCAAACAAATTTAGCGGGAGTGTTTACGTGTTCGGTGTAATGACGTACAACGTCCTCGACAACTTCTGTAGTCCTATTCAGCCACTTGTTAACAACCATCGTTTTTCAGACACGTAAACTCTTCAAAAAGCATACACTGCTGATGTATTTAATGTCGTAGAACAAAACGTGATCCGTCTCTTAAATGTGTGTCAACCACAGACCTTATTTTGAGCTATTTTCCAAAATCCTATGGAGAAATCCCATTGGCTCTGAGACGAGGGAACCGCTAGTGGTAAAATGCTAACTCACTTCCGGGTTTTAGGACTCACTGCACCACTCTATACACCTTTACAACCTCATGCAGTGATTTTACAACAGCCCAGTAAAATGTGTGCACAAGATAATAGAAATGTTATATATACCCAATTGCTCTGTTTAAAATCCCAGAAAAATGTGCTTCATGTTTTTAACATCTTAGCTGAAAGTTAAGCTATGCTCGTTTTCAGGTTTTATATTTGTATGTTGTGCCTCTACTGGGACATGTTTCCATGCTTTAATGTTCAAAAAGCTCTTTATTTCATTTTACCTTTTTTCACCCTCTGTCTGTAACCAGAGCCCAGTCTGTTCTGATTGGTTAGCTGGCCAGCTCTGTTGTGATTGGTCAACCGCTTAGAGATGTCCCGCCTCTTGGCCTATCCAGTACGATGTGTACGATGTGTACAATGTTCGAGTGTTACATAGTGATGTCACTCAGTTAGCCTCGCAGACCATTTACATGCACATGAACTTATATAACTGCACTTCAGGAAAGGGACCACTCAGAAAAAGCATAATACGGCCCCTTTAAGGTTATTTTTACTTTATTCGAAGGTTACTGCTGCAATCTTTCCTGAGAACTGGCATCAAAATGGTGTTGGACAGGTCTCTCTAGACCAGGGGTTTTCAAAGTGTGGGAAGGTGAGCCTCCCCTCAGAGAACATAAGAACAGCCGCGCCCCCCCCCTCCCAATTATTATTGCTATTATTATTATTATCATTGTTGTTGTTGCTATAATGCAGGGGTATTCAATTGCATTTCAAAGAGGTCCAGTAAGATAAAATGAAGACTGTTTCTCTCCTCTTGTCTCGTCTCTGTGTGTGTGTTTGAATCTATCGTGCTGGCTCACTGACTGCACCGATTTGATTGGCTGAGTAGCGTCACCTCCTTAAAACATTAAACAATAACTTTTTTAAACCTTTTTATCTTTATGTTTTAAACATATTGTATACAACTCCCCCACTACTTGGACTATTCCTTGCACCCCTCTAGAATAAGCCCAAATGGTCTCAACCATATTGCATCAGTAATAACGTGCACTTTGTTGTTATCGTTATAACAAGATCGCAAGGACACTGGTAGCGATCGGACAATTGAGTGTTGTTCAGTTTGTGTGTTGTGGAACATGCGTGTCCGTGCATGAAAATATACCACACACCCAATTACAATAGCATGTTCAATTCACTACCCTGGAAGTTAATAAAGTTGTTAAAGTTGGAACAGCCTGTGGACAGCCGTTCTTCCTTGCATGTCAGTCGCCGACACCTTCTTACAGAGGACAGGCAAATCTAGCTGCAGCACGACCCGTATATTTTCGCACGCCGTGTTCTCAACACATATTTTTAAAACATTTTTAACATTTTCAACATCGTGGATAAATCCTTATATGTTCCCGGCAACACACTGAACGTCAATTTTGCCTCCTTATTACACTCATCCCTACTTTAGTGGGAACAATGAGTCTGCGTCTTTGATGCACACAGGAATAAACGCAGATCATACTCTGCACTTGATTTTGATCAAAGTCCATGCGGAAAACCCGCACTCACACAGGTAGGTGGAGGTGAAGGGAATGAGCACTTTTACAGCCTTTTTGGCGAAGTGGGGGAACTCGGTCTCCACAGACAGCCAAAAGTGGGCAAGTGTCACTTTTCTCATCTTTTCTCGTTATTTTTTTTCTCACGCTGCGCCTCCCCTGAAGCTCTCTGGCGCCCCCCAGGGGAGGCGCGCCTCACACTTTGAAAACCGCTGCTCTAGACTATACACACTTCCCTCCCAATAAAGCAATTTATAGCTCAGTCTGATCCATGTTTAGTCCCATTAAATCCATATCTGGCAGTGATGCAATAGTCATGTGAGAGCGTATAGCTTTGCCAAAGGACTGTTGCTTCACTGCTAATATTTAATTTGTTTCTTGAGAGAAACTTGGATTTAAAAATGATCCCTGTCATAACAGATTTAAAGTTAAAAAAGGATTGATAGAAAGACTTCTGCCAAAGGGCGGATTTCTGAGCTTACTTTTGTTTTTTAGGCCGTGAACGATCGTCCAGCCAGCCAGAAATTACCCAAACATGTAGATTTAAAAAGAAAACTACATCGACAATCCAAATTAATAAAATTAAATAATGTCAAAAAAATTAAGGATCCAGGAGGACTTCATAAAGCTTCCAGATGCCACCAAAAAGTAATAATATATATATGTATCCGTATTTAATTCATTTAATTCATTTATTGTTTAACAGCTTCTTACCTGTATATCATTTTAATTGTGTCTTAAATTGTGTTAATCTTGTGTGAACTGTACTGCTGTACTACTACTGTACTACTTTCGCTCTTACTCTGTTGCTGCTTAAACTCCTGAAATTTCCTCACAGGGATTAATAAAGGTCTTATCTTATTTTATCTTTCAGAGAGGAAAACGCAACAGGAGCGAGAGAAATCCAGACTAAACACAACCAGAGCAGGATGTGAATAACTTACAAAGAACAGTTCAAAGGATTAATGCTTTATTTTACTCCTGCGAATACATGTATTTACAATCAGTCTTCATTAGAAAAGTGAGTCATGGGGATTGAAAGTGAATTCTGAAGAAACGTTTCCCACTTCTCAGGAAGCCGTCCCAATCTAACTGCAAGGGTATAAAAGGGTGTTCAGAAAACATGGGTCTTCACTCAGAGGAGACACAGCACAGAGGAGAGGAAACCATTGCAACATCTCCTTTCACTACCATTCAAGGATGAATTATGCAATCCAGTGCATCGTTTTCCTGGCATGCATTATCACTTGCACTTCACTCCGTAAGTGTGTCAAATTATTATTATTATTATTATTATAGCATTTTAAGCTTTTTGTTGTATTTCTGCATTTATCCATCTTCACTTTTGTCCTGATTTTACAGATATTTTGAAATGCCGGTGTATAAAAACCAGCTCGTCCGTAAATATTTCCCTCATTGCTAATATCAAGGACCTCCCGCCTCGTCCCTACTGCAACAAGAGAGAAGTCATGTAGGTATCTATTTAAACATGAATACATTGCATTTCTTTAAAGTGTTGCTTTAAACTGTTTTACATTAAATCTTCCTCTACCTCCTACAGTGTTTACCTGAAAGATAAAAGTTCAGTCTGTCTTGACCCTGAAGGAGCATTCACCCAAGCAGTCTTGCGAACAATTAAAAGGTAGGTTTTTGTTGTTTGTTTGTCATTTTACCAAAATCAGGGAGGTCAGCAGTTACTTGTTATTGCTCCGTGAATCAGGACCAGTCTGTGTGTATGAAAGACAGAGGAAGTGGCATGTAATTAAACTTGGATGACTTCATTTTTCAGATAAGCATGAGGGTCCATGAGACTGTTAAATTAATGGGAACATTAATTCTGATATGCAACGTTTTTCCCCCCCCAGACTTCCCTCTTTTCGTTGCTGCAGAACTCTAAAAATAGAATAAAGAAAAATGTGATTATAATGGGGTCTGATGTAGTCGTAGCTTTTTTTATTAAGGAATGACAGGCTTAATACAGCGTTGAATTAAATGTGTCAAAGTATTATGAATAATCAACTTAGAAGTAGACATTTGTTCATGTTGATGTGTAACAAGGCAAACAGTCTGGAAAACCACTCTGTTTTTAAAGGCTTACATTTTTAAATTGAACATGATGTGTTTTCTTTACAGACAGAAAGCGAAACTGGCAGTTAAGAAAACAACCGTACCACCAGCCCAAAAAGACCCCCCGACCAGCCCCAATACAACCACAGCATCAACCCCAGCATCAGTTGCGCCAACATGGTCATAATGCAAATGTGTTTTTCATCACTGCAATTCAACCAGTGTGTAAGAAGATCTGCACGGCACACCTTCTGAATATCCTCTCAGGCTGCTGCATCTGTTTAATACTCCTGCATGCTGTCACTTATTTGTATCCACATATGGTCAAATACTTGTCATTTTGTTGTATGCATATCACCGGGTGCCACTTTTCTGTTAGTTGTTTTTTCCAAACCTTTAATACAGTCTTTCAATTTGTACACACCAGAGCTGGCTATCATGACGGCTTTACATCACACTGTGAAGTTTAGTAATGACGTTTTATTAATAATGGTAAATGTGAATTGTTTTTCTTTGTGGTTCATATGTAAGGCCATTGTTTCTTATGAAATGTGAAGGATTGTCACTGTATGTTGTATATAATACAATAATAATGTACACTACTGACCCGTGTCATGTGATGAAGAGCTCTTAATCTTCAATAAATAATACAAATGTGAAATCTTGGCAAACGCAGTGAATTACATTTTTATTTTTCTGTGTCGGTCTGTCTGTCTCTCTGGAACTTCACGTGGAAATCACAATTAATGAAGTAATTCATTACCTCAAGTATACAGTAAGCAATATAATAGTATTTATGTTATTCAAGTTGTTATTCCCACTATAAGGTTTTTGCCAAGTCATACTGTAATACATCGTTGTATTTCTGACAGTCATGTGTTGTTGAGGCTTGGCATGATGACCCACTGTTTTCCCACATCACTGACCCCAATGTCTAATAAAGACACATGCCTTCAATCATGAGGGAGCAACATTTCTCAAGTCTGCTTTGTCAGCGAAATATGATTTCAGCTGTTATGTTTGCCACTTATTATATTTACTGAACTTTGAGGAACAGAAACAGGAAGATCATATAATAGCAATTTCGATCTTCTGACAAATGGACTAAACTCAGAGAAATAGACTTCAAACATAACTTTAACTTGTATTTTCAATGTTCATTAATCAGTTTAACCTGAAAACTCCTCTATTGATACAGATGGTAGTTAATGATTATATTTATTATATATTATCAAATTAATATATATTTCCCCGATGAGTGTTTTTGAGGCGGCACAGCTTGTAAAAAAGTCTTCTTGAAGTTATCAACGTTCATTTTACCCTCCATCTTTTAAAATGTTTATATTTTGATTGTGAATTTAGGCTAGATGTTAAACTTAATAAACATTGAGACAAATACCAGGTGATTGAATTGAAACGGCCCCCGAAAGAGAAACCAAACTGAAATGTTAGTTTATTTTTATCGCTATGCACAGGATGACAACATTTGGGGAATTTTTAAACAGTACAATAATAATGTCAAAAACAAGAACTCCTGGAAACTACTACAACTTAAGGATCCATTATAATGTACTCTGTTTTTCTGGCATTAATGAATGTTAATCAGATATTCTCTCGCTTGTTTGCACATTTTTGTTCCTGAACAAATCAAAAGGAAATACCTGCGTCTTTAGCGGCTAAACGCTCAACTCTGTTCACCAGCTAGTTGATATCTTTATCTGTCTGCCATTATCTGTGGCCCGGTTGCATACAGAGGTCTTCCCAAGGTTTTTTGCTCAAAACTATGCTAACAAGAGCCAAGAGAGTGAACCAAAGAAGTAAAATTGTATGCCTTAAAACCAACACAAACAGAGCAGACGGAAACGGGTAAATTGGGTGATAATTCTCTGTGAATTTGCCATGAGTGACCCCTTTAACATCACACGTAGTCATTTAATCTGCATCATAACACCAAACTGAATTGAGTAAACATATTGACAACAGTGTGAGAAGAGTCACTGAAAATATTTTTCACATAGTGACTCTATTGTGCTGTACATAGAGGGTCAGAACAAGCCCAGATGACCAAAAAACAACGTGCAGTAGCTGCGAGTCAAACTGTGATATGCGTACAGTTATTTATGTGTTTATTATTTTATCGTTTCATATTTGAGTCGGAGGGAAAACACAGAGTTGGCTTATTTTTACAGAGAGAAATGAAGCCGTTCAGACAGACAACCTCCGTCTGAATGGCTCGATTCTCGCCAGCCGCGAACACAACGTCTCTTAACCTCAACAGGGCCTCTTGTCTGTCCCTGCACTCACCATCCCATGACTGCCTTCTGCTGCACATGAAAGTGAAACCAACGTGCCCACACACACACGTATACAAATTGGGTTTTTTATCAATTTCCCACAGTTAAGAAAAGCACATGATCGATGTGTTGGAGGGGGGTATACATGTTGTCAGGCAGCTGTATGATATCAGTCTGAAGTGACAACCAACAGCTGCAAAAACAAGATGAAGCTCTGCATCGTGATCGTGTTCGGGACCCTGATTGCCCTTGCCTACGGTAAGACCACAATGTGTTTTAGCTTCTGTTTGACTTTTGCTGTGTTATATAACCTACTAAAGCTCAGGGTTTTTTAGAAATACTGCAGATACTGACGTGTTCCTTGCACAATACTGAAACAGTAAAAGCCTTTTAGTAAGAATGGACTTACCTGTATCCTAAATATTCCCTTGAGAAACATGGCAAAAGGTCCATTGTATTGAAATATGCTCAAATATTAAATAACTGTAGCTGTGTTTTTGCAGGTAAATTAATTGTTGATCACTTTTTGCAGCATTTAAGATTTTCTTTAACATTTTTTCCACATTTCAGACAGCTATTGGAGTATTTTCATTTCTCTGAAGTATGACTATCAACTTGCAGAGACTTAACACTTTAAATTGTCTAATCGTTGCATTATAATATATGTGCTGTTATCTAAAAAGCCTGTGTTAAGCAAGGCCAAAGTGTAACTAGATGAGTAAAAGTTAACTAAATGTATCAGCTAAATGTTCTTGAAGCATTAAAAGTAATAGTATGGTGTTTTCTTATTATATACTGAAGCATTTTATCTGTAAGAATAATTAAAATGCAGTTGGTCGAGGGGGAGCTCCACTTTTTTACTGTGTTATCTTTCCAAATCAGTTCTAGACCCATTTTATTTGGGGGGCTATGCTGGGACCAGTTTTTTAGGACAGGGGCACATTTTATGCGGGATAAAAGACACAAAAAACAGTGTTCAACATTATTATTATTTTTTTTTTTTTTTTTTTGTATAAAGTCAAAGCGCACAAGTGAAGCAAAGTAACATAATTTGTTTCAGTGGTTAAATTGTTATTCAATCACATTTTGAGAAACAAAATGCATTCAAGTTAATTTTGTCTAGTTAGAGCACAACGCTACCTCAAATTGTATTATCTTTATAAACTCATCCCCCATGATCGAAATGTCTCATATTAAGAATATCAATCTGCCAACAATATAAAGTAAAAACTACAGATGCATTCAAGATTTCGACTCATGTGTTTCCCATTTGTGTGACCCAGTAAACTTTTCATCATGACTTGGAGAATTTACGCTGTAGTGAACAGGAAGAGGACTAAAGGAGAAGATGGGGAAGTGAGCGTTGTAGCAATACAGAGGGAGTTGTAATGAAAGCTTTTAGAAAGGGGACCTTTCCATTTAATTATTTGGAGCACACACACATCAGGTCTAATGCAATCACAATGTCACAGTGACAAGTTCCCTGTAAGATAAAAGAAGGAAGGGGAGGATGCAGTTTGATTGCGTGAATTATAGAAGTGCGTACTTTTGATCTCTGACGAATCTTTAAACAGCCTAACGAAACGATGGACTCAGACGTATGAGATTCTTATTTCCTTGGGATATGCAACACTGCATATTGTGCAAGACTGACAGGATTTCAACAACTGCTAAACTAATATTTCAACATTACAATGACTAAAAGCCTCGAAACGCTAGAAGTCATCTCCATGTTGTGACACATTATTGAACACACTTTACGGTAAAACATGACTAAATGTCTTTTGATGACAGGTATGCCACCGATCAGCAGAGACTACAACACTCACTGTCGGTGCGTTCAAGTGGAGTCGAGAATCATCCCGCCGGACAGCCTGAGGAGCATCAAGCTGTTCCCTGAAGGGCCCCACTGCCCCGACATAGAAGTCATGTAAGTGTTCAATAAAAGTCACATGCAAGAGTCAAACTGCCAGTCAACTTTTGGGTTCATTAGAAACCATTTTTACTCCTCAGGACTTATACAAATTGTCAAAATCCCTCCCAAAGTCCTCGAGGAATACATTAGAAAAATCCATGCTGTGATTTGGCACTGAAAACTGTTGGCGTACGGAGAAAAGCTTAATGTGGACCCTTTGGAATTTCCTGGTTTTATGCATTAATTGGTCATTAAATGTGATCTGTCACAATTATAGACAAACACAATATGCTTAAGCAAACCAACATTTCTATTCTTTCATGTATTTATGGAGAACACCCTTTAAACATTCACAGTGCCCGGTTAAAGTAAGTGAACCCTTTAAATAACTTATCCTTTTAGAGCAATAACCTCAGACAAACTCTTAAACCCTCCAGATCCAGGAATAAGTTCTGGCCTCGGACTGAACTTCTCTAAAATGTGGATTTTCTTTTTTTTTGTTGCCACAAAACCACCGAACTTCAGTTGATCTTCTGCCACTCTGACATTATACTGCAGGATATCTTATTAAACTCCTACCTCAATTGAATGATTTATTCAAATTGGACAAGAACAATACAATAATTGTGTGCTATTTAGTAGAAACAGATTGTGTTTGTCTATAGTTGTGACTTAGATGAAGATCAGATCACATTTATTGACCAAATCATGCAAAACAGGAAATTCCAAAGGGTTCACATACTTCTTCTTGCCATTGCATATTATACATTGAGTTCAACACATAGCTTTGACTTTAATGCAGTGGAGATTTCCAATGGGCTGTTCATTTTTATGTGATACAATAAGGATTAGTACCATTGAAGAGCCCTAATAATGTCCAGAAGAGACATGAATATATATCTAAGGTAAAACAACTGTAATGGTGTCAGCACATGCCATTTGTATTACGTATTCTCTTTAAAAATAACTTCTGGACGGGGTTGGCTTGTTTTTGGAAACCTAATCTCTGGGTGTTTCTCAATCGCGAGTACGCTTGCTTGGTAGCACATGTCTGCCGAGCATCTTGCTTCAGAAGCGAGGCAAGAATACTTCCTGGCATTCGGAAAACGAAGAGTGGAACACGCTAGCAAGTGTGCAGGTGTGCGTCATATGAGAGGCCCCGCCTTACATTTTCCGCCACAGATTTGGGGAAATTGGTCCGTGCGCAAAGCATTGTGGGGATTTTAAGACCGCGGAGTCTACACATGTGCAGCCTCGAAATCTCTCCAAACAAAGTACGCCGGGCTCGGTAGATTTCCAAGTATGCTGGAGATTAGAACAGTCCTTCGGCGGCACTCGATGACGTAGGATGCTTGAAATAGTGGCTCTGCAGCAGCTTTACTCGAGATTGAGAAACACCCACACAGTGTCTCTAAAATCTTGGCTCTGTTTAATCCTTTATTTATTTTTTGACAGAGCTGGACTGGCGAGCGGGGAGAAAATTTGTCTGAACCCCCAGTCCTCCTGGGTGAAGAAGCTCATCCAGTTTGTTCTTGCAAGACAACTTCATCAGAAGCATCAAGCATAGTATCAAAAGACAAACAGTAAAACATGTGCAATGAATTCCTCTCTGCAACGATGAGCCATGCTGTTGTACTTTAATAAATCACACTTAACACAGTTTGTATAGCTTATTTATATTGTTAGTGTTGTGTGAATGCTCTTTTTTTAACCAAACAGAGAACAGGAAGTGTCTAAATAGCACTGTTACTGGATGAAGTATGTCTAAGCATTATAGGAAGTAAGGAATTGTTGCGTGTGACGTGTACATTGTAAAAAAAAGTGTGAATGAGTGTTAATTATTCTCTTTATAGAACGTTTGGTTGTACGTCGGATGCAGACACTTTGTAGCATATCATGTGTAATATTCATAACATAATTTTCTTTATTTTGTGAAAATCACTTGCTTTGTTAAACCCCTTTCCCAACTTTGGCACCGTCAGGGTCTATGTCCAATTTGAGAAAACAAAATAAATTATAAAATGTTTCTTGTCTTGCATTTAATCTGAAACACACTTTTTCTCCAGATGTGAATTTTGTGGAGACACTGTTGAACTTTTGCACTCATTTCAAAAGAAACTATCAACGGCCAAGACACTAAACAGTCTCAGATATAAAACTGTTGGTTGATTTCCCAGTGTTGTTTGAACAGCTTTTGCAATGTTAATGAAGGTTTGAAGTCTGAAAAGTACAATGTGTAACCGAGCACCTTAATGCGTAATGAAGCACTTATTTTGCCTATTTGACATGTTCTCAGGTCTTTTGGTGTTTGCTTTAAAAGAGACGTTTTATTCCAGTAAACTTCTCATACTCCTGAAACACTCTGTTTTAAAAAGGGCCAGGTGTTGATACCTTCAGGGCCCCAGGAAACCTTATACTGTACGTGGACATTTATAATCAACCTTATCCCATTTTCCCCTAATGTCATTCATTAGACACACCCAAGTATCACGGAGGAGGGGATGTAATGAAAGAAGTGACGTCAGTGCATACCTTGTCAGATGATTCAAACAAACGAGTGAATAGGGAATTAACTATTTACCAGAGAAAGAGGCAATGAACAGGGATAATCCAGTGTTAACGGGCTGTAAATCAGGTGGTCGAGTGGACTGATAGCAATGCTCTTGAGATCAACACCAAGAAAACTGAGGAAATCATTTTTGGCTCACCATCTGACTCCCATAAAGATCCATACAGATGAAATCAAGCAGGGACTTTCATACAAATACTTGGGTGTAATGATTGATCTGCTGTCATGGAAGGATTACATTGAATATGTCAACCCTGTCAGAGACTCTATGACTCAGCCTATCATAACAACCTAGTGAGGCTGTCCAACAACATCATCTCGGACCCAAACCATGTTCTGAACAGTGAATATGAACTGCTACCATCTAATCGGAGATACAGGGTCCCACGATTCAATAAGGTCAGACTGAAGCACTCCTTTGTGCATCACTCAATCCTCACAGTAAATACAGAGCTGAATCCCAGATCAAATGCACGCTGAAGGCTCTTTGAGCAGCTTTTCTCGCACTGATTGTGCTGTTATGTTAAATGTTTGTTGTTTGTGTTTCATGTATTTTTGTCTGGATATTTGTCTGTTGATGTTGGACATGGAGCTGCTGTGACGCAAGTCAAATTTCAGACTTGATCTGACAAATAAAGTAATATCGTATTGTACCGTATCGTATTATCACTCAGGAAAAACAGTCAGAAAAAAAGACTGAAATCTTTTCTGGGAAGCTGAAAAGTCGAAAAATTCAAGCTGCTTTACAGTAAAACACACAAAAAGTATAAATAAGGAATAACAAAAGACAAACATCTTACAATATACAATCTTTCAAGTGCAATCGCCAAACCTAAAACTGACACAAAGTGCCTCTTAAATAATTTAACAATTCTGAAGTTGCTTAAGGCTAAACACTTTCAATTCAAATGTAAAATCTCAGACAGCTGGTTTACCTTAAAGAAAGTTGGAGGGATAGTGCATGTCAAATAAAACCCTTATTAAAACTAAGGGCAAAACAAAACCTGACATGAGTGAAAGCGGTCCTTTCAGAGCTGAGGCTTGGCACGACCATTCGGGGAAACAAACAAGACGAACTGACACAGGACAGGGGAGAGACAGGACTATTTAAACATGAGGTGAGTGGGAACAGGTGGAAACAATCAAGGGCGGGGCAGACACTGATGATGGCGGGAACGACACACAAGGGGAGGAAGAAACAGGGCCTGAATTGAAAGACAAGAGGTAAGTACAGAATAAAACAGGAAATTACAGACAAAATACATAAACATAACTAACACATTTGACGAGACACAACATTCAGGACATCATTTACACAAACATATCGATCAAACAATGTCAGCTAGGTTCGGCCCTCTGATTACTCATATTATTCAGACTTGGCGAAATGCACAGAAATGATGCGCTATTCAATGCCCATATTTAATAACAACCAATTACTCATAGGGCAGAGGCCTATTCATTATTCCCAATGGGGGAGGAAGGGTCTTCACACCTTGGGAGATATTTACAGTGTCAGTGGTCTCTGCTCTTTTCAGGATCTTAAAGGCTGTTATGACCGTCCAGGCACCTCTTTCTTTTTTTATCTACAGCTTAGGACAGCCCTTAAGGCTTATGGGGTCCCATGGGATCAACAATTAGCAAGGCATCCATTCCACATACTCATCACTGATGGAAGAACCTCCAGGGGCTCTATGTTTTATACTCACCTACTTGAGTCCTCTTATGGTGACCTTCCCTTAGATAGACTTTGGAGGAAGGATGTCCCAGAATTGAGACCTGATTTTAATTGGGATTCAGTCTGGGCTAACATTCGTCAGGCGTCTCGCAATCCCGACCACCAACAAATCCACCTGAACTATGCGCATTTAACTTACCTGACACCCAGACGGCTGCATATGATGGGTCTTCTGGCAGATGCTCGGTGTACCCTGTGCTCCATGGGGGCTCCTGGTACATTTCATATGTTCTGGGAATGCCCGCCTGTTGCTCGCTTTTGGAACGGGGTCTCCTCTAAGTTGTCCGATATATTTTCTTTGACTGTACCTGTATCTGTGTCTGTTTTTCTTTTGAATGACTTATCTCAGCTGCCGGCTACTGGGTACCAGAAAAGACCTCTCTATGCTGGCCTTACGGCTGCCAAGAAATTGGTAGCTATGAGGTGGAAACAACCCGACAAGCTCTCAGTGACCTGCTACTAACGTTTCTTGACGGAGGGAGGCTGTGGCTCAGTGGTAGTGTGCTGGACTTCGAATCAGGGGATAGCAAGTTCGAGTCCCACTGCAGTCAGCATGTCGTTGTGTCCCTGGGCAAGACACTTCACCCCAAATTGCTCCTGTGGGGATTGTCCACAGTACTGAATGTATGTAAGTCGCTTTGGATAAAAGCGTCTAACAAATGACATGACATGTAATGTAATGTCTAAATGGAACTGTCCACTGCACGTGTGATTGGAGTTAAGGAGTCCAATATCGGTTTATGGGTGTCGACAGCTGAAAAATTGAAGGAGCGGATTTAGCAATCTTAACTGATATAGTTGTTTGCAGTCATTGGTCCTGGGATTGGAGGTGGGAGGGTTTTTTTTTTTTTTTTTTTTGTCCTCTTGTCTTGTATTTTTTGTAATTTGTGTTGTATTGGTTGTGATTGTACATTGTATTTTTCTAAATGTGTATGAATAAAAACATTTGATCAAAAATATGGACTATGTGTTTATATTCAATAGCATTATTTAATATGCTCTAAAAACGCTCTGTTGTGTTAACCTTACTTGATCTCAGTGTTTCACCAAAAAATATTATTTTATAAAGTGCTATCTATTAATAACACTAGTAGTATTTCTAGTGACTCTTTATATCATATCATCTATTGTATTTTATTTTTTTTTTTAGGTAATCATACTTTGATGGAACAACTGTCATGAAGACCAATCATTCCTGGGATAAATGAAGTATTTCTGATTCTGTGACGGCCACATAAACGTGGTCCGAAGAGCCTCCTGCTGGCCTAAACATGCAACTAAAATATGTTCACAATGACAGTATTTCTGCAGGTTTCTGCTATATTTATTTGTTTATTTGTTTATTCCACACATGGCAGTTATTTTAATGTGCACTTAACAAAACATGTACACTTATACTGTTTTTTTTTTTTAATAGCACATGGTGGAAAGGAGCAGGGAGAAGAACATCTTATTTGACCTGCTCCTCCTTCAGGGACTCAGATGAGGGTGTTGCACTTTTCCTTGTACATGTGATGTTTCGGTGTAGTGTGTTTACAGAGACATGTTTTGTAAACAATTGTTATACATGAAGTTGTGCATACCATGAACGGAACAAATACAAATGAAATGAAAATATCCTTCCCTAAGTGTTTACAGGTAGTGAAGGTAATACTCACCATGTAGTTGTGGAAGCCTGCATGCGTTCTTCCTCAGACACTCCCTGTAGAGCCGGCTGTCCTCCCTCAGGTCCGTCAGCAGGAGGTGAAACGGTCGGCTCGCCTTCCTGTTCAAGCCGTACAGCCTTCTCAACTGGCCCGCCAGTCGACCTAACTCCTGACATCACACACATGCACAATGTGGGAATTCACAGGTGAACAAATGACCATTATTTGGATGTAACCGGCTTCAGTAAAGGGAACTGAGAACTTCCACAGCAACACTATGTGCAATATAAATATCATTACCATCATTACAATACACTCGCTGCTATATAACAATATTATTATTATTCATAATATGCTATGATAACGTGCAATTACGTATCTGCTACTAAATACTGGTAATTACATTAATTATGTGACCGTCTATGTTTCATGTTTTCTGTAGATATTTAATTGCTCTTTTTACTGCATTGTTAGTGTACAGTTGTAATATTATGCTGCTGTGTTTATTGTTTTTTTGTAACTCTGGCACAACAATTTCCTTCAGGATGAATAAGGTCTTCTCTTATCTTATCTTTTGTACTTATAGTAGGCTGTTTGAGAGTACAGGATGCAGGTTTAAGGCCCTTACCTTGTCAGACATGCTGTCACTCATACTCAGGTCCACACACAGTTTGAGCCCGACGCACTGAGCCTCAGCTAGACGCTCTTCGGTGATGGCTTTCATGACTCGTTTGGTAAACTGAGGACTATCTGGGCTAGAGCCTGTATGACAAAACACACAGGAAAGACTGTAAATGACTTCCAGATCCAATCTCCATGCAAAAGCAAAGTAAATGTCTGATTTGCATAACTTTATCTTCACCTGACTCCTTCTCACGGTTGATCTTCTTTCTCTGCTTCTCCTCTTTCCTCTTGCTTTTCTTCGCTGCCATGTGCCTCTCCCAGTGTTGCTGCTTCCTCGACACATTCCTCTGTTCATTTAACAGAAAACACAACATTACCAGTGCAGAATAGCTCTAGATGTCTAAAATATTAATAATTGAAATACAGAATGATGTGATCAACACAGGAAATAAGGAACAAAATAAGATTAGGGCATTTGTTTAACTTTTGGCATTAGAATTCAAGACCCTAAACGATGTGTAAATATATATATAATGGACAAACCTGCAAGATTTCAATAACGATTGAATAAATAGAAATATAACCAATTAAATTAATAATACTGCTCATAACAATACAAAAATAAAGTGTACTATATATTCATCCCACCAAACAGTCACCGTAAAGCAAAGTAAGCAAGGTTTTCTTCCTGAAATAATAATCAGTAAGGCTGCTACCCTGGAAAACAAAGCAAGCTTGAAGAGGTTTTACAGTGGTGTTTATTTACTATGAAGGTAAACAGACTACTGAAGACCGTGCAGCTTCCCTCCCAGGCCTGCCCCCCCCCCCCCCCCTCTCAGTCTCCACGTCTATGAACAGCAGATCCATCACCTCTGAAACTCCATTCAGCTGCATCTCACACACATCTGAGCCAATGTGTGCCATGTTAGTTAATGACTCACAATCATATATACAGTCTATGCTCACAATGCATCACCTACACATTGTTTTATTCTGTAAATGCAACCCTTGTTTAGGCATTTGTGTCTAACTGTAATTTATTTGATTTTGTTCATATCATGTTTTCCCACTCAATGACAAATTACAGGCAAGATTTTAAAGGCAGAAAGAGAAACACATGGCTAAGATGTAAAGGATGTCGCTTGCGGCTCTCGTTGATGACGTCAGAGACAACAGAGTGGAGAGGGGGGGGGGGGAGTGAAAACAGTTCCAGCACCAGTGTGACAGTTACAATTTCCGTATGCATGCCAAAAGAGGGCAGCCTAATACCTGTAAAAAATGCATGTTAAATGGAATACTCTTTTTATTTGCACATCGCATTGTTAGTAAATATGCCCATGTCATTTCATCAAGTAATTGAATAGAAAGCTGTTTCTTATCTCCCTTCAGCATAGTTTAGAATTATTTTATGTTTTATCATTACACCTTTTCTAATTAATTCCACTCCAAACTGTCATTTTCGGAGATAACACAAAACAATTAGGCCAACGGACAGAAAAGGAGAAGCACACCATTTTGTTCTTCTTATTTAATTAGACTTTTCCATACTTTGTTGTTTTCCGGTCCTGATTATGCGCAAAGGGGCGCTATTTCTGCGAGGAACACTGTGAACACCTTACACAGGGTGAGTCAATTAACTTGTTTATAATTGTATTGTGTTGGTAAATTTAGTCCAACAAATATTCATTTCGGACTGTATTTGAATCTGAGAAGTAACTTCAGTTGGGACTGTCAAATAAAATATACAACGTTCAGATGCCTTAGATGCTAAAGGTTAGCTACTGTTAGCAGAGTTCCAGAACATCTTTGCTGCTAGCTAACATTACCTTAATGTTATCCATTTACTTGCCTGAAATAGGTATTTTGATGACCAATTTTATCAGTATTTGTGATCGTGTTGTGGTTTGACCTTGTTAATGATACAAAGATCAACTTTATTATTCAGTCTCGCTTCTAAAACGTGTCAAGGTCGTGGTGGATTAACAATGCTAACTAATGCGATGCTATGTAAGCTAGGCTAAATTGACCGTTAATGTATAACATATGATGCTGGTGAATGTATAAATAAGAACACACACAAATAAAAGCCAATTATTTAATGATATACACATAATATATATGTATGGAAATGTCCATCTACTGGGCCTTGTGTCAGAAAAACATTTAAATGTAAAGTAGGCTCATTGACCATAACATCTTTTCACTTTATATTTGTTTACATTTCTTTACACTATTTTTAAATACATTTTTATATTATTTAATGAATACTAATAATACTGCAATCAGTTGTTATGTTTGCTAACACTCGTAGTTATTTAAACGAAACAATTGTATCAAGCGTTTCCTCGTGCCGCAAACCGGAACACTCGTGTACTCTCGTTTGTAGTCGGAAGCCTAAAGGTGGTGCACACTTGTACTCTTACTAACCAACTGCAGCTTACGTAAAAGCTTACTTTGGTTGACTATTCCTGGGTGACATTATATCTATATGGAATTGTTTAGCACAGTTTTACACCAGCATTTAGCCTATGTACATATATTGAGGATTGTTTTATATTTCGGACCATAAAACAGTGATTTTGACGCTGTTGTTGTTAGCATTTGAAGCTAACACGCTGCCATGCAGCATCACAGCAGCCAATGAGAGACTCACAGAGGAGAGATATGCTACCAGACAGCATTGTGGGTATTCTCAATACATTATATAGATTATTTAACAGTTAATACGGGTTTTATTCAGGGAACCGTTGGCATGTTCATGTCGTTCTTTTTATGGCCAGTATAACATTGTTAAATGTATATTTTGTGGCAAATATTATCATTATGTTTCGCTATAAGCGTTATGAAGTTATGCTAAGCAATACATATGTATGTGCTAAGAATGGCTTTTATTTAGTGTTATTGGCCGCGTAGCTTTTTAGATGTTTCTTTGCTCATTTATATAGAATTGCAATCTGATGTACAGTGTTGGAAGTGAGGACCACGTCTGAGAGTCGCATGTCTGTCATAGTAGTAGTAGGGCTTGAGCGTTGTTAAGGTTAAGACTATACTTTCAGGGATCATTTCTATAGTTTCTGACTTGAGAAATGTGTTTCTAAAGTGATTGGTCTCGCTAACCACGATGATGAGATGGTGATACTCTTTCCTGAGCGTGAAGCTGGCAGAGAGTCTTGATTCAGTTCTTATGCTCTCTGCCTTTGATGACCGTTCACTGCCTCCTTTGGGGGCTTTGAGGGAGAGAGTATGTTCAGAGTGGCAGTGCAAGAGTGTTCAAAGTAAATCATGATAAATTTATTCACGATATCAGTGTCATTGAAACATTTCATGTAATCCATGTGTATTTCGCAAAGATTGCAAAAGGATACATGATGCGTTTTACTCCACTCCATGTATTAACTTTATCCCTAGTATATATAGTTTATTTCCATGAAGGGTATGTAGCCTACAGTTGTTTACAATATGCTAGTGTTATTTAAGCTAGTCACATGTCTTTCCTCATGGTTGGTTATTCATTGCATGTGTAATTCACAATGAATACAAAAGGTTATATGAGGTGTTTTACTCCATTTGTTTCTTTATTATTATTTTATTGTTTGCTTTAGTTACTTTGCAGATTAGTGTTTTCCTACAACCCATCATTTTCTCAGTATTATCACCTGATGTAAAGTATTGGAAGTGAGCACCATAACAGGGAGGTGCATGTCTGTCATACCAGTACTAGGGCTAGCTCAGTGTAGAGGTTAAGACTATACTTTCAGGGATCATTTCTATAGTTTCTGACTTGAGAAATGTGTTTCTAAAGTGATTGGTCTCGCTAACCACGATGAAGAGACGGTGATACTCTTTCCTGAGCGCGAAGCTGGCAGAGAGTCTTGATTCAGTTCTTATGCTCTCTGCCTTTGATGACCGTTCACTGCCTCCTCTGGGGGCTTTGAGGGACAGAGTATGTTCAGAGTGGCACTGCTTGAATGTTCAAAATAAAGCATGATCGATATCCAAGTGATAGTCATGATATCAGTGTTATTGAGGCGTCCATGTGCCCATAGTCGTTTATTAAATGGATTCATATTTGACTATGTTTCAACAATTGCACAAGGATACATGATACATTTACTCCACTCCATGTATTTACTGTATCCTTATTTTATTGTTTACTTCCATGTAAGGTACGTAGCCTAGAGTTGTTCACAATATGCTAGTGTTATTTAGGCTTTTTTTTAAATTAATATTATGCCCATTATTGTTGACTCAATGCATGTGTAACTTACACCAATTGCAAAAGGATATAAGAAGTGTTTTACTCCATTCAGTATATGTACTTTATTATTTTACGGTTGACTATAGGTACTTTGCAGAATTTGGATTTACCTACAACACATTATGGTCTTATTACATTTTTGAAAGAATAAACTACCAAAAGCAGCAGACTTTGTTTCAGTATTATCATCTGTTCTAAAGTAATGCAAGTGAGCACCATGACTGAGAGGTGCATGTCCTTCATACTAGTACTAGGGCTAGCTCAGTGTAGAGGTTAAGACTATACTTTCAGGGATCATTTCTATAGTTTCTGACTTGAGAAATGTGTTTCTAAAGTGATTGGTCTCGCTAACCACGATGAAGAGACGGTGATACTCTTTCCTGAGCGCGAAGCTGGCAGAGAGTCTTGATTCAGTTCTTATGCTCTCTGCCTTTGATGACCGTTCACTGCCTCCTCTGGGGGCTTTGAGGGAGAGAGTATGTTCAGAGTGGCACTGCTTAAATGTTCAATATAATTAATGTGCAATTGGGGGACCAAGTCGAAAGTGATAGTCCTGATATCAGTGTTATTGAGGTGACCTATTAGTATTAGTTGCCCATTGTCGTTTATTAAATGTACTCATATTTTACTATGTTGCAACAATTGCACAAGGCTACAGTTTACTCCATGTATTTACTGTATCCTTATTTGGTTGTTTACTTCCATGTGGGGTGTGTAGCCTACAGTTGTTATCAATATGCTCGTGTTATTTAAGCCTTTTTTTGTCATTTCTTTCCTCATGGTTGGTTATTCATTGCATGTGTAATTTACAATGAATACTAAAGCTTATATGAGGTTATATGAGGTGTTATTATTATTTTGTGGTTTGCTTTAGTTACTTTTAGGGATGGGTATCATTAGGATTTTATCGATACCGGTATTTTTCGATACTCTTATCGATTCTTTTCAATTATTTGGTGCTCAAAATTATAGACATGATTACAAGATGTGAAGATTAAACAACAGTAATTTTATTGTAATTTATTTGTATTTATTATTTAATGTAACTTTTTCAATGTCATACCAAGCAGGTATGAGTGTGTTTGACAGTGTGTCTCTAGAAGGGGGGCGGTTATTAGGGGCAGTTAAAACGAGACGCTGCGTGCGCACCTCCTAAACCGGAACCTCCGGTCGGCTAACCATTATCATCCGTTTATTGCGTTTATTATTTATAATTGTAATGATGGATTATCAGTAATCATTTCAAAGTTACACAGAGACATTGGATTACATTTCAGCAGCGTTTTTATGCCTCTTGAACACAACTTTTGATCACAAAACAGCAAAGGTAAGATAATTATCATCATGGCTACGTAAAGTGAAGTTGTTTTCTTGCTCTTTCCTGGCTGCTAGTTCAGTGAGTTTTGGTCGTACAGTGATGAGACTTATACATATGGAATCTTTGGAATCTCAGCTTTCATGTGATATGTCGTTTGTGCAGCCAGCATGACGTAGAAAAGTTCGCTTTTGCCAGTTATGTGCTAAAGTAGCCGTTTGCCCCGTTAGACCGTTTCGCTAAAATGGTTAATATCGTCTGTTAGCTGAGTTTCTTCCCGTTAAGTGGGTATGCATCATTAATAGGTTGTTAATAGTTAAGAAGCCTTGAGACGCTGTTTCTTGCAAGATG